CATCATTAGAAGTAGCAGTAGAACAGACAAAAAAGTTGGACTGTTGCCCACCAACAAGGTGTCCTATGATACAGGGAGTCAGTGACAGAATCAAGCTTGTATAAAGTGTGCTGCTAGTTCAGCAAACTCTTAAAAAGTAAGGTTTGGGGAAAAATGACCCAAGTAACTTAGAAGGACGGCACGGTGCCTCAGTAGTTAGCACTGCTGCCTCACAGCGCCAGGGACCCAGGTCCAATCCATCCGCAGGCAACTGTCTGTGTGGAGCTTGCACATTCTCCCTGTGTCTGCATGGGTTTCCTCCGGCTGCTCTGGTTTCCTCCTAGAGTCCAAAGATGTGCACACTAGGTGGATTGGCCATGCTAAATTGCCTCTGGTGTTCAGGGACGCCTAGATTAGGTGGGATGCTCCGAGGGTCGGTGTGGACTTATTGGGCCAAATGGCCTGTTTCCACACTGTAGGGATTCTATTAAAACACAAGAGGAATGTAGAGAATCCATGTTTGTCCTGAAAGTGTTTAGAGGTCAATGGGAACAAAAACCGAAAGAACTGCAGATGCTGTAAATCAGGAACAAAAACAAGTTGCTGGATAAGCTCAACAGGTCTATATGTAACAACGGTCATGAAAGGGTATATTTGCCTACATAGGTAGAAGCAAGAAAAAATGGTTTATCTAAACTCCCATTTTGTTTATAACGGCAGTTTAATCAAAGAGTTGACTTTAGCTTTACATGAAAGAACATCAATGATCATTACTCCAAGAGGTGAAGCTGTTCGCATCAGGTCTGACTGAGGAAGAATATGTCTTTTTCAAACTGTTTCAAAATTAAGACAAGAATCATCTGTTCAGAAACCTAACAGTCATAGAATCATAGAATCCCTATAGTGTGGAAAGACACTGTTTTGGCCCATCGAGTCTACACCAAGCCTCCAAACAGCATCCCACCCAGATCCAGGCCCCCCACCCTATCCCCGTAAACCCGCATTTCCCATGGCTAATCCACCCAGCCTGTACATCCTTGGACACTATGGGCAATTTAGCATGGCCAATCTGCCTAACCTGCACATCTTTGGACTGTGAGAGGAAACCAGAGCACCTGGTGGAATATCCTGAAAATACCAAACAGTGTACAATCCCTTAATGAGATTAGTTTTAAATCTTATTATTTCATTATTTACATTGCAGCGCTTGGCAAACAGGAACTAAGAATCAGTTTTAAGAAAACTTTTTAAGTTACATTCTCTCAATAGTTAACACACTTTCCTAAGAGATTACACCATTAACACACAGGGCACTGCATTTAGGCTATTCGACTAAATATCATTCCACTGGCAGAAGTTCTTTTAATTCCAATTCATAAGATATAAGCATATCTAGCACAGACTTAGTTTAGTCACCCATTATTACTCTGGTCAGCCACATCAAGCATTACTACCTATTGCTAACACTACCAGTCATCACTCCTGCCTTCTTCACCCTGATCACCTGCAAGATGCTCAAGGGCTTCTTTGTCATTAACATTTGGACCATTTTTTCATCTGCCATTGCTACATTACTCCACCATCACCACATGCAGCACTCACTTTCCCATCATGTCAAACTTTCAATTCCAGCTACTACCTGTCTTAGCCCTGCATCTTTGTTTCTCTTAGTTTGCTCCAATTTCACTTATGGCTTTTCCAATTCATCTAATCCAGAAGATCCAACTGGTGCCACCTTGACACCATGCCTAATAAAGTGCTGATTACCCAACCTACCCTCCTGACCCATGTGTCAAAATTAAGTCACTCCCTCTTTCAAAACCACCATCACCTCTTTATTTAGACGAACAGCACCTCTGTTCCTGAAAACTACAACCCCATATCTAACCTCTTTACTCTCCAACATGCTCATATGCAAGTTTTTGAATGTATAGTGGTTGACCAAATCTACCACAAGACTTCCCTCCACATCATGTCTGAATATCTCCAATCATGATAAGCACTGGAAAGACTGAAACCACTATGTTTGGCCTCTGCACAAATCCTTTGTCTTCACCATTGATTTCATCTCTGACCAGTCACAATTGTAGACAGGAGCAGATACTGGCAACCACAGTATCTTATATAATCCCAAGATGAATCTCTCATTGCATAACATCCCTACCCTAGGCCACCCACTTGTCCTACAGCAATGCTTGCCCAACACCCTCCCCTACTCACTCATTTCAATCTGGTTGCTCAAACCGTCATTTGTGCCTTTGTTACTCACTACCAGATGCAGAAACTCTAATGTGCTCCTGGCCAATCTCTTGAACTCCTACATCATTTAACACTGCTCAAATATTCTATCCTGTACCAGGTCCCACTCACCTATAACTTTGTCGTTGATCTATATTGACTCCAATTAAAATTTCTATTTTGGCTGTCAGCAAATGTAGCATACAAAGTAGGATGTAGTAAATTCAAATCATCACCATCTAGCATCAACTTCCAGTTATCTCTGGTTCCATGTGTCTTTTTGGTAGAGTGAATATGATCTAGGACATCAGTTACCTTATCTGGATGGAAACTTAATTTAAGAAAATTATGGTTCACTTCAAGAGAGACTGTATGTTTTAAGAGTAAAAAAACTGCTTAGATTGGTAAACCCATGACCAGAACCATCTTGAACAACAAGGGCAGCAAATACATGAAAACTCTACCACCTTCCCATTTCCCTCCAATCCACTCACCATCATGACTTATTGCTGCTCCTTTAGTATTGCAAGATCAAAATTCTGGAACTCCCTCCCTAATGACATTGTGGGTGTACTTATAGCAAATGGACAGTAGCAGTAAAAGGAGGCAGCCCAACAGCACCTTCTCAAGGGCAACTAGGGATGGACAATAAATGCTGGCCCAATCATCGACACCAACATCTCATGAATAAATTAACTCAGATTACAGCTTTTGTTAATAAGCATGTCTTCATGCTTTCATCTGCCAAGACTCCTAACTTTGGGATTCCCTCCTAAAATATCTTTAAAATATTTCTTAAAACCTACATGTGAATTAATTATTGGTCACCTTATATCAAATCATAAACTAAAATAACACTCGGATGCCCCTTGGAAGGCTTTATTCCATCAAAGATGCTTTAAGATTGTTGCATTCACAATTCATTCTGATTAACAAAAGGAGGAAATGATTACAGCTTTTGTGCTCCAATAATTCAGAATTTGTGAAAGACATCAATCAAGAGCTATTTACTATGGAGTAATTACTTTAATAGTTAACTTTTTGTTTACTAAAAGCATTATTAACCATAAGCCTTGATTTACACCTTACAAGTTGGAAGTTTAAAAACAATTTAATTCTATACTGATTATTCAAAACCAACAGAATTAAGAATGAATACAAAAACTCAATGAAAAAATTACCAAGAAACAAAAAAGTACTACTTTAATAATTTTAAATATAACCGAGAACCTGATCATTGGCATTTGGCAAGCTATGCTGAAATGTTGAGATATGGATAAATTGAATGGGAGGAGACTAGTGTTGGGTATAAATTCCAAGACAGACTATTTGAACTGAATGACCTGTTTCTATGATGTATACTTTCTGAAATTTTAAATATAAAAAAAAATATAACAACAATAAAGCCTTTACTGAGTAAAAACAGGAATTCAAATCATTCTAAGGCCCAAAATTCATAATATTTTGTTCAATACATACATGGATGAAATTACTAAAAAAAACCTAATGGGTCAATGTATTTGGAAAAATATAGTGATATACTTTCGTTAAAAATGTTGGTTCTCAAAACTATAATATAAAAATTTCTAGTTCCAGAAAATGAAAATTAATAGATGTATTAAGTTCCTCATCTGAAATAAGATCACATTCTAAAGGAGTTTGGATAAAATAAACCAAAAACTGCAGACCCATATATATAAATTATCATTGGTGAACAATTATAAAAGCAGCCATTTTCCCAAGAAGATGAATAATCATCGATTTTAATTTGCAGCAGTTTATATACAGATATGTTACTTGTTTGACATTCATTAACCATGAACCCTCTAAATCATAACCTACACATTTCTGTTTGAGACGATCAATCCTTACCCCTATCTGCATGTTTTGTTGGCAGAGGCGGGACTGCAGGCAGGTCTCCCCAGTTCCTAAAGGGGAACAAACTATAAGGGAAAGAACATGCATAGTTTTATATATAATTATTTACAATGTATATAACAGAGATCCTTTCAAACAAAATTGTTAATTTCATGAGCTTAATATCTGCAATACCAAAAGAAAGATGTAATTTAAGGCAACCTAACTGTACAACTAACCAACATAAAACCACGTTCTAAATCTGCAATGGTTGAAAGACAACTAAGTCGGACTAAGCTTCTAAGACAGAAAGAACAAAAGAACGCTAACAAGGATGGCTCAACACAGCGCTTACCACTACAGAACGAGCTGGTCCAACGCAAAATCTATATTCTTAAATAAAAATAACGTTTTTAAAAGCTGAACTGCAGAAGAGATTGCTTCACGGTGCAATACTTACAGACAAAGCCCTCTGCCCCGCTCCACCTTCTACCCTACATAGAGATCTGCAATGTAGCTCCCCAAATAGGGAGCATTTTTTTTTCCGTAAAGGCAATGATTACTGCACTCCAAAAAATGAAGTACAGTCAGCGCTTGAAAAGCTCCCAAAAAAGCTGGTTTACTGTCTACCCCAGTGCCCGTAGTTGGAGTGTATGGAACAATGAGCTAATTCTGTAGCTTGCTGGCGTTAATCCAAACATCCAGCGTTGGTAGTGGTGCTGCTGCAAAGCTAGACTGCTTACTCTGCATGAATAATCAACTCAAAGTCCCCCTGTCTGGGACTGGCAACCAATCAGCGACGAACAACCCGCGAAGCCGCCGCTCAACCGCACCTGCTTACCCGGACCCAGCCTATCCCCGCTTCCCATTGGTCCCATGACGTCACCGGAGTTCTATTTTGGAACGTTGCTAGCCTCGAAGAACGACGCGCGCGCTGGAGCTGGCTGTCAATCAAGCGGCAAGCGACCACAGCAAGTTAGGGTGCGTGTCGCTGTTTGGATCCCGTATTGTACTGCTGTGTTGACTCATTGCCAGAGACACTCCAACTGGGATTCGTGGGTCTCACGGAGCTGAAGTTATATAAGGTAATCGAGCAACACTTCAGACTCCATCCAACAGCAAAAAAAGGGGGAGGGAATGCGTACAGATAATCTAATATTAACAAGCAAAAATCCAGTGAACTGCCAGCCCTGCACGTTAATCCGAAAAACTTTTGGAAAATAAGATGTACCATTGCAAAAATCGTATGCTGCACTTTAAGAACAACAATCAGAGTACCAACATTAGTGCATTCTGTTTTCTTCCATGAATTTTTAGGTATATGCTCCTGCTGGAATATCCGCAAGATGGCACAATTTTAGTGTTGGTATTTAAATAGTATTGAAGTTGGAAGGTGCAAAGAAAATTTCATTTAATTATTGTTTTACAACCCAAACGAGAAACTCTGGAATCCTCGTTGGCTGCAATAAATTGGCACAATTCCTTTTATTATGCCAAGTAGTTCCTGTCCCTTTAAACGGTTACCGAGCGGGTGTAATGATGTAATCGCTGTGTACAATTCAGGCACAAGTGCAGCAAATCCCAAATTGTGTTGTTTCGTTTTAAAACACTGGTAAATACATCTTCTCGATCGAGATTCTGTCCTTTGAGTCTCTGCAGGTGTTCCAGTGTCCAAAAAGGCACATCCTTTCTTTGGGACTGAGCTGCCATGGAAACCTCATTTAGAAAGCAATCTATCGCAAATTCTGAAAATATGAGGTAGAAATTGAATATGATGGAAAAACTCCGCATGAAAACAGCGTTAGGGGAAGTAGAAACGCGGTTAACCTGCCCAATTTTGCTGGAAGGGTATAGGTTGCAATCAGGGCGTATTCCTCCAGATTTCAAACGTGACTTCCCTCTTTTAATCACCATACTCAGTTACACATTTTTTTTTAATCCTTAACCAATATTACAATTAATAAATAAGATTAGAAACCATTTCTGTTCTGAGTGATTTTTCGCAAGTTGCTGGCAGCAGTATACTAGTGACTGATATTTAATTCTGAACACCTAAAAACCATCTTGGAGGGTTGATATCCCTATGAAAGAGTTGGTGAACCATCGGAGTTCTTCAAAAAAAAACCCAAGAACTGCGGATGCTGGAAATCAGCAACAAAATCAGATATTGCTGGAAAAACCCAGCAGGTCTGGCAGCATCTGTGGAGAGAAATCAGAATTAACGTTTCCAGTCCAGTGACCCTTCTTCGGAACTGGTTCAAACTAAGTAAAAGTTGGTATATTGAGTTAAAACGTATGTGCTGAAGATGGGGTGGAATGGTAGGGGAGATGTAAACAATAAGGGAAATGAAGCCCAGAAAGAGAGGAAAAACAGTTGGGCAGACAAAGGAGTGGATAAAGGTCAGCCTGGGAGAATGAATAGCTGCTAATAGGGACCGTTATTGGCAGACAATGGGTTGTTTGTGGTAGTAGCCCATGTGATGACAAGGCCTGGTGTATGGGGGTTGTGGTAAGTTGCTCAGGCCCTAAAATTGTTGTACTCTATATTGAGTACAGAAGGCTGCAGGGTTCCCTAGCGGAAAATGAGGTGCTGTTCTTCCAGCTTGCACTTATTAGCGTGTCTGGAACATTGTAGCAAGCCTGAGACAGATTTTGACCAGGGAACAAGGGTGGTGGGTTGAAATGGTAAGCAACCGGAAGCTTAGAGTCATTTTTGTGGACAGAATGTAGATGTTCTGCAAAGCTAATGCCCTGTCTGCACTTTGTCTCCCCAGTGCAGAGGAAACTACATTGTGAGCAGTGAACACAATAGACCAGATTGAGGGAAGTGCAGGTAAAGCACTGTTTCACCTTGAAGGTGTGTTTGTGGTCTTGGATAGTGAGGAGAGAGGAGGTAATTGGGCAGGTGTTCACCTTCTGCAATTACAGAGGAAAATGTCGCGGGGATGTGGGGACGTGTTGGGAATGGAGAAGAAGTGGACCAGGGTGGCCTCTGTGGAAGGCTGACAAGGGAGGGGAGGGGAGGGGTATATGTGTCTGGTGGTGACATCCTGCTGGAGGTGGCAGAAATGGCAATTAATGGTCCTCTGGCTGTGGATACTGGTGGGATGATGGGTGAGAATGAGGGGGACCTTATCGCGGTTGTGGGAGGGAAGGGGGTGGTGAGGGCCAAAGTGTGGGAGATGGGTTGGACCTAGTTGTGGGCTCTCTCAACTATGGTGCTGGGGAATCCTCAGTTGAGGAAGAAGGTGGACATTTCAGAAGCTCCCTTGTCGAAGCTGGCATCGTCAGAACCGATGTGTTGGAGACTGAGGTACTTGGAGAATGGAATAGAGTCTTTACAGGAAGCAGCATGTGAGGATATATAGTCCAGATAACTGTTGGAGTCGGTGGGTTTGTAGTGAATAGTGGTGGCCAGTCTATCCCCAGAAATGAAACGGAGATGTTGAGGAAGGGAAGGGAGGAGTCAGAGATGAACCAGGTGAAGGTGAGAGCACGGTGGAAATTGGAAGCAAAATTGATCATTCTCCGCAATTCTGGAGAGAGAGGGAAGCAGCACTGATGATTTCATCAATATACTGGAGAAAACGTTGTGGGTGGGGGGCCAGAATAAGACTGAAATAGGGAATGTTCCACATACCCCACAAAGATACAGGCATAACTAGGTCCCATGCGAGCACCCATGACCACATCTTTGAAGAAAGTGGGAGGAGTTAAAGGAGAAGTTATTCAGAGTGAGAACGAGCTCGGCCAGGCGGAGGAGGGCGATAGTGGATGGGGATGGTGCAGCCCTTTTTTCCAGGAAGAAGCGGAGAGCCCTGAGACCATCCTGATTGGGGGGGGTAGACACGTAAAGAGATTGCACATCCATGGTAAAGAGGAGGCGGCTGGAGCCTGCAAACTGAAAATTCTGAAACTGACATAAAGCGTCAGATGAATCGCAGATATAAGTGGGAAGGGACTGGACAAGGGGAGATAAAATTGAATCGATGTAGGAAGTGCTGAGTTCTGTGGGGCAGGAACCGGCAGAAGTACTGGGTCTGCCCGGCTAGTCCCATTTGTGGATTTTGGGAAGGAGATAGAAGTGAGCTGTGCCGTGTAGGGAGACTATGAACTTTCAAGGCAGAGCACTTGAAATGAGATTCGTGACTGTTTTGGACACAATGGCCTGGTGTTCTATTGTCGGGTCATGGTCCAGGGGGAGCTCGGAGGAGGTGTCTGAGAGCTGGCACTCAGCTTCCGCAATGTAGAGGTCAGTGTGCCAGATGACAACAGCATCACCCAAATTGGCAGGCTTAATTACAATGCCAGGATCGGATCTGAGAGCGTGGAGTGCAGTCAGTTCAGAGGGAGATAGGTTGGAATGGATGAGAGGGGTGCGGAGAAATTGAGGCAACTGATGTCACATCAACAATTCTTGATGATCACGTTGAATGCAGATAAAAGACCAGAGGGAGGGGTCCAGGTTAAGGGAGAGTTTGGAGATTGGTGAAGGGGTCTGTAGGACAGGGAGAGGACTCCTGTCCAAAGAAATAGACATGGAGGCGAAGGCAATGGAAGAAGCACTCATAATCTGCCCCCAATTTCAGGATCTGTATTTGCAGATTAGCAAAGAATTGAACATGAATCACTAGAGGTGGTTCTACTGACAGATTCTAATATGCCTTTTCTCGCTCTGCATATTCACTTTCAGCAATTACCAAAATCAATGAGAATCTCAACTTTCCCAATCCCACACTTATTAGAAACGTCATAAAATGTAACTCCTTGTTCAGACAGGAGCAATTGGGTTTTTAAAGGGCTAATATCATTTGATGAGCAACATAATTAGCTCTGAAAAATAATTCTGTAATTATAGACTGCAGTTAACTGATTTATTAGTGGATTTTTAAGATAAATTTTCAAATAATGATCTTAAAAAAACATTGTTCAGATTATTGTAGCTTCTAAATATTTTAAATCAGCCTGGCCCAGAGGTATATTTTAGCTTCTGTAATCATTTAGACAATATAGACGAATGAAGGAATACCAGCATGAATCTGTTAAGGACAAAGGAACAAAAACAAAGTTGCTGGAAAAGCTCAGCAGCTCAGCAGGACAAAGTTTGTTTGACTAACTTGGTTGAGGTTGGTTTGATGAGGTAAGAAAGAAGATTGATGAGGAAATTACATAAATGATTACATAAGTGATCTGGAGGAAGGTATAGATGGTCTGATTAGCAAGTTTGCAGATGACACTAAGATTGGTGGAGTAGCAGATAGTGAAGGGGACTGTGGGAGAATGCAGTAGAATATAGATTAGAGACTTGGGTGGAGAAATGGCAGATGGAGTTCAATCCAGGCAAATGCGAGGTGATGCATTTTGGAAGATCCAATTCTAGAGCGAACTATACGGTAAATGGAAAAGCCCTGGGGAAAATTGATGCACAGAGATCTGGGTGTTCAGGTCCATTGTAGTCTGAAGGTGGCAATGCAGGTGGATAGAGTGGTCAAGAAGGCGTACGGCATGCTTTCATTCATCGGACGGGGTATTGAGTACAAGAGTTGGCAGGTCATGTTGCAGTTGTATAGGTATTTGGTTCGACCACATTTGGAATACTGCATACAGTTCAGGTCGCCACATTACCAAAAGGATGTGGATGCTTTGGAGAGGGTGCAGAGGAGGTTCACCAGGATGTTGCCTGGTATGGAGGGCGCTAGCTATGAAGAGAGGTTGAGTAGATTAGGATTATTTACATTAGAAAGACGGAGGTTGATGGGGGGGACCTGATTTGAGGTCAACAAAATCATGAGAGGTATAGACAGGGTGGATAGCAAGAAGCTTTTTCCCAGAGTGGGGGACTCAATTACTAGGGGTCATGATTTCAAGGTGAGAGGGGAAAAGTTTAAGAGAGATATGCATGGAAAGTTCTTTACGCAGAGGGTGGTGGGTGCCTGGAACGCATTGCCAGCGGTGGTAAAGGCGGGCATGATAGCGTCATTTAAGATGTATCTAGACAGATATATGAATGGGCAGGGAGCAGAGGGATACAGGTCCTTGGAAAATAGACAACAGGTTTAGATAGAGGATCTGGATTGGCGCAGGCTTGGAGGTCTGAAGGGCCTGTTCCTGTGCTGTAATTTTCTTTGTTCTTTGTTCTTTGAAATATGCAACTGGCAACAAAGAAAAACAAAAAGCTCAATGAGGAGGGGAAAATTAGCATACAAGAGAAAGCTAACTGAAACAATAAAAACATATTAAGAGTTTCTATAGATATTTAAGAAGAAAAGAGTTAACAAAGTGAAAATTTGATTCTATATAAGGGGAGTCTCTGCGAAGAAAAAAACACCTTTTTACCATCTTAAGTTATTTTCTTTATTTTGAAAGGTGACCCTCTACTTCTAGATTCTCCCACAAGAGGAACATCCTTTCCACATCCACAGTCAAGATCTTGCGTATCTTATATGTTTCAATCAAGTCACATATGATAAAAAAAATTCATTCTAAAATACTGGTATTGAATCTACTCTTCTCCCCCTCAATCTGAATGTAAAATTCAGTTATGTTGTGATCACAGTGATTGGTGGTGGGGGAGGGGGGGTATTCACTGTGAAGTTGTTAAATAATCCTATCTCATTGCACAATATCAGGTCTTCTGTAGAGCCTGCTTGCTGTCTAGTCACCTCCAGAACATGCTATTTCAAAAAAAGTATCCCAAAAACATTCAATGAACCCCTCTTCTAAACACTTTTTGGCCATCTGATTCTTCTGTCTATATGATTTGTCCTCCATTGTTCTGACATGCTCACATTCTTGCTTTTTTTATACTCCATCCTACTGTGTAGTTGCTTCTAGAAAGCCTGTATACCACACACAAGTGACTTCTGGTTTTTATCATTTCTCATCTTGACACAAACTGCTTCTACTTCCTGGTTTTCTAAACATAGGTCACCCCTCCCTATTGTACTAATACCATGATTAATTAACTGAGCCACCGTCCCCCTTTTCTTTGCTTCTGAACCTTTCTAAAATGTCCTGTACAATACAATATTCACTCCCAAACTTATTTCATCCTGCAGCTATGTCTCTGTAGTGGCTGTCAGATCATTCATACTTACTACTTGTTTGCAATATGAATTCATCTGTTCTGAATGCTATGCGTATTACAGGCACAGAACCTTTAGTATTGTCCCTTTATTTATTTTTGTAACTTCTAGTATTGTCTGTTGATTTGCTTTTAGCTATTTACTTCCTATGCCTACCTGTCATTGCCTGTCTATCATTTTCCATATTAAAACATTTTTCTCTTTCCATCTCTTTGGTTTACTACATTTTCCTCAATTTGATCTCTTGCCCTACTATTAAGTTTAAAACCCTTTTCACTTCCATAGTTACGAACTTGCTAGAACACCAGCCCAGCACAGTTCAAGTGTGGACCATCCCATAGGTGCAGATTCCACTTCACCAGAACTGTGCTAATGGTCCATGACAGGAACCTAGTTCCCTCACATCGGATGCCAAGGTATGCTTTAATTTCTTTCATCTGATTTGCCCCAGGTCCTATGATCAATTAATAATGCTGAACCTTTGAGGTTCTGCTTTTTTCGTTTGATGTCTAACTGCTCATACTGTGTATGCAAAACCACTTTCCTTGTGCTGCTTAAGTCATTGATATTCACAGACATCACAATGACTGCACCCTTCCCCTAAACAGATGTGTTGGCCATTGGCATTGGCAGGCAACTTAACTGCTGGGTTCTCACCCTTCACTGCAGGAAACAGCGTCAATCCTCTTCACAAAATTGTCCCCAACTACAACACATTCACTTGTGCTGCCCTCACTCAAATGGCTTCCTGCTCTATAGTTATATGGCCACTCTGAAACCTTCAATCTCTTCCAAAGCTGGAAGTTCCTCAAACATGTTGGACAATTGCAATAAGGCTCCTATGCTCTTGTCTTCTGGACCACCTTGTCTGCTTCACTGTTAATGTTCATCCACAGATGCCTACTAAACAGACAACAACAGGAGGACACAGTATGCCCTAATACACTGGCCACACTGCCCTGCATCAAGGACATATCGGAACTGACAACAAGACTCCTAAGATCGCTAGGAATCATGGTGGCCCACAAACCCACAGCCACTCTACGACAAACACTCACAAGGATTAAAGACCCCACTCCCACAACATGCAGAACCAACGTGGTTTACAAAATACCATGCAACAACTGCCACAAATACTACATTGGACAGACAGGAAGGAAACTAGCCATCAGAATAAATGAACTTCAACAAGCAGCAAAACGGCATGACAAACTTTGCTTAATATCAGTATACTCAGACAATGAAAGCCAAAGATAGACACGCATGGGAGTTCCTAGAGGCATCGTTCTCCACCCATAATGCAATCAACAAACACATCGAATTGGACCCCATATACAAACCCATACAGATCAAAACCGGAAATGACAGTACTCACCATAACGGACCGGACAGTATAAATTCCAAGCGGAGTAGAATAACATCGCTTCATCAGAGGCTCCACTGATGATGTCACCTAGCATGGTGACGAAACGTCTGAACAAGAACAAACCAGCTCGGCTAGCAAGTCAACAACCTCACCCACAACCCAAGCTACAGATCTTTGCCAAAACTTTAAGTATTGTGTACGGTTTTGGTTTCCTTAACCATGGAAGGATATTATTTTCATAGAGGGAGTGCAGTGCTGATTTACCAGATGGTGGGACTGGTCTAAGCGAGACACTGAGACCAGGTCTATATTCTGTCAAGTTTGGAACAATGAGGGTTGATCTTATTGAAACTTACAAAAATCTAAAGGGCTACACAGTGTAGATGTAGAAAAGATGCTTTCTGGGGCTGAGTACCCACTCAGCCAGGGAACCAGGGATATAGTCTGAAAAAGAGTGCCAAGCCTTTTCGGGCTCAGATGAAGATGAATTTCTTCACACAGAGCAGAGTGAATTGTTGGAATTGTTATCCTCAGAATGCTATGGAAGCTCAGTCATTGAGTATGTTCAAGATAGTGACCAGGTAGATTTCTGGATTGTAATTGTATCAAGGGATATAGAAATATGGGAAAATAGTGCTGAGGTAGATGATCAACTGGGACCTAGAATGGCGAAGCAAGAGGAGTTGAATGACTTACTCTGCTCTTATGTTCCTATGTAAAGTATTTGTGTTCTGAGATTACGAAATGTACCATGTAGACACAAGTCTTTAGTTTGTGCAGATTGGGCCAGGTACAGCAAATTTAAAGGAATGAGATAGGAGAATAGAAATAATCCGACTTCAGAAAAGATGAACATAGTCATGAAATATTTGTCAGGAGGGAAAAAGCAAGTGATGGTGAGCCTACAGTTTAGGCAGAAAATGGGTTAAGTGACACTGCAGAACTGACTTCCCATTTGTTACAGAAGCTGACATCTGTTTGGCCTTATAGAGCACCCCCTCTATATAAAAGAGTGCAATGCCTGGTAAGAGGATCCTAGACTATATGGACACAGAAATAAATATTGAACAATATTGAGTTATAATAATACCCAATAGCCATTGTGAATTTCAAAATGTTGCTGGTCAGTTTGCTGTATATCTACCGATGTATATGTTTGCCTTAGAGCTTTCTCATTGTATCTCACCAAGCCACATAGTCAGACTACTATTTACAATTGAAAATTTTGCCATGCTCGTACTTTCCAAAGAATTCACGTATCAAATGATTGTAACATAAATATGGATCCTTACCACACCACGCAGGATGAGCTTCAGGTTGGGCAAAATCAGCCATCCACAGTTCCCTGTAGTTTCCAAATGCAGCAATGCAATGACAGTGGGAACTATTGCAAGCTGTGTGATTTTTAGAAAAAAAGATGAAAGTGTGAGCTATGCTGACTAAAGCATCACTCACCTGTTTGATTTATTTGTGAACAGCACATTAGTTGTTTCTACAGTGCTGGCCAGGAATGAGCCATACTGATAACATTTGAGAGCATTATTCACATTGCCAACCACACAGTGCTGACGATATTTTTGAACTTGGTTGAATGGTACTTGCTGCAGATGGCAAAGTTCTGGAACTGACTTCTCATTGACCTTGAATAAGTTAAGCCACTTGTTGTCGATAATTGGCAGGCATTATGTTATGGTCTAGAGTCATGGTCTGGTTCATGTGAATGTTCTTGGCACATCTCCTTTCATCCTGTACCATCTCATGATTATGCCATCAAATACAATATTTTATATAAAACAAATTTATACTGAGTGAACTCATTCTTTATGGAGTATAACCATGTTTTCAAAAATATGGTAAAAATATTTAATAAAGCAGCAACAGAGGTAATGATTGTTTGTTTGTTTTTACAATGATCACGCACAATACCATTTTCTGTTTGCTTTCCTACTCTCTCTCTTTATCCAACAGACGAATATTTATCTTTGGAATGGCTGTGAAATATTCAAAACTATTTTCATCCTTTCTAAAGGATTGATGATTTTTCACCTCCCCCATCCTACCTCCTCCATCTCGTTCTCTGCACCTGGCTAAAAGTATGCAGGAAGCGTCAGAAGATTATGCAAACTTGATAAGTAAAGGATGTGAGAAACAGCATGCCTCCAACAATGTGTTTCTTTGAAACCTTAGATGGAATCTTCTTGTTCTGACAAAGTCAGGTTGGAGGAGAGATAGGGACTAAAATCTGAAGAGAGTGTGTAGAGTCGGGTCATCTTGCCTAAACGCCACAGACTCCAAGTGATTTTGCCGGAAGCAGTATCAATGGGCCGTGGTTACTTGCCAGTACAAGTGGGTAGCCAATCAATTGCTGTCACGGATGGAAATCTGCTGAGGTCAAATATATCCCTCCCAGTACCCCCACACTCCCCATGAGGTCGAAGCCATTCCTCTCAGTGATGGTGTGGGGGCCTACCCTAAATCAACGACCATACAATTTTGGAATCACACAGCTACATGCAGCCCTATTTTCATAAGGCTACCATGATCATCTTTGTTTTGAAGTGCACACACGATCTCCTATCTGCCTATCAAGTATCCACCTCGCCACTGGGCCTGACAGTCATACACAGTTTATAGTCCTCTGACAGAGCCTCCAGCCTCAGGAATCCATCTGTTAATCCTAATTGGATAATAAAAGAGTAGGTAGCCTCTGAATTGGTGCCACCCATAAGAATGCATTCTGTGTGGCTACCTGATACCATTAGGATCAATCATACCCCCTTTTGGTCCTGATGCAGAAAAGTTTCAAAGCCAATAAGATTGCACCCCTTATGACTTTAAGAGTGCACACCTCAAGCTAATGAAGGTTCCTAGTCATGTTAAGCTGTGTGTCAGGAGTGTTCAAGTGCAGGTAGTACCTTGTACCTCCAGTCAGTTCCATCCTACTGGTAGAGTGGACAGAAATCACTGGTCCTCATCTATGCCAACTCTCCTTGCTGGCTCCAAGGCAAGCTGTCTCACTGTAGTGAGGAGAGAAATGATGAGCATGACACCATCTGGGCAGATGTCTTCCTTGATAAAGGTAATGACAAGGATTCCAAAGTGATCATTTTCTGGATCAAAGGGATGCCACACCATATTTCATGAATTATGGTTGGTTCACTAGCGATAGGTAAAATAGCAAGGGAAGAAGGTTCCTTCAAACCTTAAACAACAACCAATGTAGGACAGGGAACTCAGAATCTAAACCTACTGCAATGAAAATGAACATCTACTCTGAGAGCTCTATGCAGAAAAGCAGCTGTCCCTAGCCAACAAATAAGATCACTTCAAGAGAACTTAGATGTATCCCTGCTCTAAACACTGACATCTGATACACTACATCTTCGTATGCTAGTGTGACCTAAAGGAGGCTCTGTATATTTGAGTGATACCCAGTGCTGACTGCAATACAGAGCACTGGCTCATTCACACAAAGCTGAACATCCACTTCAATGCTAAGCCCTCAAGAACAGACCTAGACACAACCAATCAAATAAATTTTCAGTCATCAACCTATACACATCATCTTGAAGGGATAGTTACCAAAAAATTTTACAGATCAGACTGGAACAGCCTGATCTCACTATTGCTTCCACTATAGGAGATGTTGGGAACACACCAAAGTTGCAGTACGAGATACTTCCAACAAGGTGATCAGACAGAGCTCCAAGAAGACCAGGGATTGTTTTGATGAAAATGATGAGGAAGTATTAGATTTGTGAACAGTGGCAATTATCTGAAACAGGTGACTTAAGAAATTTCTATGCAGTACTAAGATCTGCATATGCACCACAGAATAAACCAAAAACCCCTTGCGAATCACCACTGGTAAAACACTGATTGCTTGCAGAGCACTTTGAAACACTCTTCAGCACTAAATTCATGGTACTGGCAAAAAACCATATCAAACAACAGCCTGCTAAACAAAAAGAACTGGATGACACGTCAGTTCCAGAGGAAACTGTGATTGACACCAATCAGATGAAGAGCAACAAAGCATCTTGAGCTGAT